CTCTGTAAGGAAGTCTGAAGGAGGGGGCAGATTTTTTTCGGTTGTGTACTTCCAGATTCTAGCGCACTCGAGCTGGTTTCTCCATTCCTACCTCCCTACCTTTAATAAAGGCAGGCACATTTTTAGCGCCTATTCATACTAAATCAGTTGTCCCTCCCCCTGGTTCCAGGACCAACAGATCCATCTCTAAGCTCAGCAACCCTGTCCCCCCATAATGCTGAACCTGAACCAGCTTTTCTCCCAACTGAAGGAGGTGAGCAGCATTGTGTTGAATNGAAACCAGTCATCTGGTTGAGTGTGGGTTGGGTGTGGGTCATAGTTGTCAACCCTCCCGATTTTCGCGGGAGACTCCCGATTTCATTGCCCTCTCCCGGTTTCCTCCCGGGGTCATATTTCTCCCGCATTTCTGCCGATTTCTGACAAAATCAGATTTACACACGACTGTTTCCACTCGGACTTTAATACAGCTACACCATTGTTTGGTTTCCATGGTAACACGACTCTTTAGTAGCGCGCGCAACTCAAAGTCTGAGAGGGTGAGCCAGATATTCACAGAAAACAGAACAAGAATCGACAACTCTCTGCTCACTCCTTTCCTGTAAAATGCAGGTCCAGTCCACACATATGCTCCTTCAAGGACGGTGCTACAGGCCGCAAGGCAGTGCACTTACAACTACAATAAGCATGTTAATGTTAATCTAGCAGCTCCGGCGATCCACTAGCACCCATTAAATTATACATTTCAAACACAGTATTTTCCCACATAGCCAATGATCTATATAAAACAAAAAACTGCTTTTAGTCTATTTAGGATGATGGACAGTTTGAAGCATTGAGTGATCAGTCTGTAAACAACATGTTAATCACCAACATTTTGGTTATGATATTAATACTAATGTTATTATATTAAAGCAGGTTGGCGAACCTCCGGCCCTCGGGCCGTATACGGACCGCTAGGCCATTTGGTACGGCCCTCGAGGTAATTTATAAACAAAGTGGCCTGTGCCTGGTGGTGGGGCCCAATGTGATATATTTTCATGGGGCCCAAAATCCCTGGCGGCGCCCCTGCTCCTAGTTACTGGTAGCTTTCATTTAACGTTGTTTAGTTTCTGCCTTCAGAATTAATGTCAAACTCATGAAACTGAAAAGTTGTAGCTAATGGTATTTTACATTAAGTTGCAGTAGCCAATATAAGTATAAAAAACTACTGTGTAATGCTAGCTCATTAATGACATAGCTGTGGTAGGTGTTTAAAACTACTGCTTCAGTCAAATACCGAGAAGAGCCGTAGAGCACATGACCAGGGTTTCCTCTGTGACGCAAGCACGGCTGAGGGAGACGTACAGTAGCAGAGATGTATGCAGCTCATCACGTACACAGGACACTGCATGAACCTTAGAAACTGCTTACTAACCCCAACATCAAGTCTCATCTCAAATCTACATGCATGTGATTTTGCACTCTCAACCCCCTGTCAGCTCCTGCTAGCTGCACGTCGACCAGCACAACCTGCAATGCAGTGGCCTGCACTTCCATCGCTATTGCTGCTTCAATTAAGTTAATTACAATAACTTAATTACATGGTTACACTATCCCATAACTTATATAGGCTAGCAGTAATTGATGGTCTGTGAATAGAAGAAGTCGGCACGGTTCGACCTTGACATATTTTTAAACTGCTGTCACCGTGCTTGGCTAAAAAGCTGTCACCAATACAATGGCAGAGGAAGATGCTTTTAGCAAGTTAGCAGGATATGTCATGTTAGCATGCTAACTGGCGGGCTGCCAGGCTGAATTACCATTACACTGGGGTACATTTGGCAGCTGTACAATGTTTTTACACTGTAATAAGAGGAGCCTAGCGGTTTTACTGGCGTTACAGCATCGCAAGATACATACACAAAGTATTTCGCCCTCTACGTGCCTGTCCACAATGATACATTTCTACAGAACGGTCACTCGGCAGTTTACCTTGAGCATCCCCTCCGCTCGTCAACACTGCGATGGCTTTTCCTGTTCCCGACAGGTTTTCAAAGAATATTTTCTTGGTGTCTGGCTGCGCCATTTTCACAGCAGTTCAGTGTATATCCCAATCCTAATCGATAAAATAAAAGAATGGGCCCACAAGTATAAAATTGTGCTCAAATGATGAAGGGCAACACTCGTCCGCTCCCACTCTACCTATATGTGCCCGCTATGCTCTCCTTCTCCCTGTTCCGCATCTATTGCTGATTTGCACAGACCGACCGTGGGGAAGAGTGATTGACATTGCCGTAAACCAACCAGATTTTGGTTTAAGATGCCTTCCTATTATTTGAAACCAATGGGAAGTAGCGTGGATTATGGGCGGAGCAGTAAGTAGGAGGATGCCAGTGTGGTGCACGGATTCTCACGGATGTATGGGGCAAACGCAAACCCATAGGGCAAAGCAAGCTATTATAAGATTATTAGGAAGTCCAACACATGTTTGCTGGAAGCATGTCTCCACACACTGCAATATAATGTAGCAGTGTTACATTATTTGAATGACACTCTTGTAATGTGGCAAATAAGTGGCAACAAAATACAAACATATGCAATTAA